AAAAAAAAAAAAAAAAAACCAAACCTTAGGAGGACCACTTTGCCACTTGCAAGGTCACCATCAGAGAGATTGTGATTCAATTGATTTAATGTTTAGTTTAAAAGATGATGTTTTTGCAATAATTGCTGTCCATGGTGTTTCTGAGGAAAGAGAAGACCCCATTACATACTGGTCCATCCTTTTGTTTGTAGTTCAATGCCTTGCTCATTGGCATTAATTAGTTGGTGAATTTGGTTTGTTCTAAAAAATCAACATCACGGAGTTTAGGAAATGATGACTTAGTGCACGAGATATGCACCATTATTGGGTTTTAAAATAATTAAATGTATGCCGTTTTATCATGCATGTAACAAGAAAATTTATGTGATTCAAACTCATTATACCTCGCAATCTTATCAACATTACGCCAAGACCCGCTCTTTCCATAGAGATTTTTGCAACAAATATGATTGGGCAGTGCTTTCTTGTGTGGACTTGATTTCATTTCATTTTTGTTGCATCAACTCCATCGAGATGGTAATTACACGCACGAATCCACTGATTTCAGCTATTGAAAATCAACAAGTTATAGGCAGTACATTCCATTCACCTTGCAGCCACCATAACTCGAGTCAAATGAAGTTTTGTTAGCTAAATTCCATTGTTAATCTCAACTCAGCCCAATAAACATTGTGTCAACTATTTGGATGTTACAAGTTTTTAAATTTGTTGCGAGTTATCCAGCTAACGCAACCCTAGGTCTTTTTTTACCAAACAAATTTGAAAAAAATAAGGGAAAAACTCATTTTTCACCTTAAAAGATTTAATTTTTTTTACTTTGTACCTTTAAAAATTAAATTTCTCACATTATACTTTCAATATATTACAAATATTACAATATGAACCTTTCATTAATTTCTGTTATTTATTTCGGCAATGCCAATAAGGTGGATTTTGATGGAATAAACAACCGAAAATAACTGAAGGGTATTGCAACACTTTTAATATATTGAGTGTACAATATGAAANAAATAACTGAAGGGTATTACAACACTTTTAATACATTGAGTGTACAATATAAACAAAAATTTAATCTTTTAAAGTGTAAAATAAAAATTCTTAAATCCTCCCGCACTCAAAATACAATTCGCCCAAAATATAAACACTAAATACCACATAGACAAAGTTACTTCATTGTCCATACAACCCCATTGCCACTTGTCTCCTCACCACAATAAACCATTCATGAAACAATATAAATTGGCTAAAGCACTTTGTAAGGTAACTCAACCATAGCATAGTAGCTGCTTCTAGTTCCTTTAGCCACCAAAGAAAAAGAAAATGGGCTCTGAAACCACTCTTAAGCTTCCCACCATAGACTTCTCCAAGGTAGAATTAAAACCAGGCACTCCTGAGTGGGACTTGGTTAAAGTCCAAGTCCATGAAGCACTCCAGGAATTTGGTTGCTTTGAAGCATTGTTCGACAAAGTTCCCTCTGACCTCCGAAAGGCCATATTTGATGCATTAGAAGATCTTTTCAATCTCCCTCTACAAACCAAGTTGAAAAACTCCTCCAAGAAGCCCTACCATGGCTACGTTGGCCAGTATCCGATGGTGCCACTCTATGAGAGCATGGGTATCGACGATGCAAACCACCCGGAGAAAGCTGAAAGCTTCACCAATCTGTTGTGGCCTGAAGGGAACCCAGATTTCAGGTTTATATCTTATTATCATCAATAATTTTCCTAATTTTTTTTTTTTTATCAATAAAAAGAGTATACTCAGTGCACGAGATTCTTGTAATTAAAATAATCTACATAAAATATTACAATGAAAGTCAAAATCGTCTTGTATGAAGTGAATCCATAGATTGTACTTTGTGGATTTACTTATTCTTTTATTTGATAGCAAAACTATACAATCGTACTCGGAGCAACTATCCGAATTAGATCAGATAATTCGGAGGATGGTGTTGGAGAGCTTGGGTGTTGAGAAATACTTGGAGGAGCACATAGCATCAACAAACTACCTTCTTCGAGTCATGAAATATAAAGGACCCGAATCTAGTGAGAACAAGCTTGGGCTGAATGCCCACACAGATAAAAACATAGTGACCATATTGTATCAGAATCAAGTTGATGGATTAGAAGTGCAGACTAAAGATGGGGAATGGATCAATGTCAAACCTTCACCAGACTCTTTTACAGTCATGATCGGAGATTCTTTTTACGTAAGTTGTGTTGAAATACAAATACTTAAATTATACCCTCTCTAACAGTTTAAGTTTTTGGTAGATAGTTGTTTAACGTGGTATCAGAACTTCTACGTGTTATGCCCAAAATCTAGTCTGTTAATCTGTACATGAGAGAGCGTGTTGAAGTATAAATCTTTAAGTTACACCCTTTCTAACAGCTTAAACTTTTGGAGTAGAATGTCNAGACAATAAATCTTGAGACTGCTCGGTATATTCTTAATCTAATGCATATCTATAAGGTTCATCCATGTCATGATTGTAACAGCCACACTCTATTATGTACAATAGTGTCCATTTTTAATTAGACCCCACAAAGTAAAGGTTCAAAATTCAATTGGGTCATCACACCGGGCACTAAAACTTAAGCACACAAATACTTAGACACAATCGATTGTGCAAATTATCTGAAATAACATATATAACTAAATAATCAAGCAACCGAAGAAGTGACTAACAATAACAAAAACGGTGCTAGCTAAAGATGGTGTCTTCGCCTACAGCAAGTTAAAGACTTATACAAACTACTNAATCAAAACCAAGCCCCGAGCCCTGAGCTTGAACTGCTTACAGAAAATAACACATTGTAACAATCAATCTGCTAATAATTTTTAGGAGACTCGTATATGATATTTGTAGGCATGGGCGAATGGCCGGTTCCATTCACCGTACCATCGGGTTATGATGACCGGGTTCGAGACAAGGTACTCTCTGGGATTGTTTTCAATTCCAAAAGCAGGCTACATAATAAAGGCCCCAGAAGAGCTGGTGGATGAAGACCACCCCTTAATGTTCAAGGCCTTTGATCATGTTGAATTCCTGGGATTCTACTACACTGAGGCCGGCCAAAAAGCCAAATCTGCCCTGCAGACTTATTGTGGTGTATGAGACTTAGCAATGGAGGATGATAAGGAAGTTGTTTTGTCTACTTTAATCCCTTGTTATAACTGGGTTTCATTTGTTCGCTAGCTTCTCAGCTACACTGTTTGTGTATTATGGTACTGTTCCCTTGGTTTAAGTATGGTTACTGTACTTGAAAAATAGATATAGTTGAAATGTTTATTGTGGCCAATATGATTACTACGGTGAATATGTTATAATATACGTTGTAAGATAAGATGTTAAATCCAAACAATCTAGACTGTTATTGTCATTTATGGTAAAAATTGTTCCACTTTATTTGCTAGTATATAATTACATGAATATAATCACAAACTTTTCTATTGTAAAGATGTATTTGGATGTAACTTTTTAGATGGTCTTCTCTTAGAAATTAATTTCCTTATATATATATATATTACGGTGACAATAAAACAAAAAATTAATAATATTTAGCTTTGGGCAAAAAACTCAAAAATTCAGGGAAAAAAACTATGAAACTACTACAAATCCTTTATGAAACGAGCAATAATACAAAAAATTGCTACATGTGAGGGTTGTTTGTACATTTAATACATTTTGTTAGAGGTAAAAAAATAGGTATGAGAAATTAACAACAGTACCTCTTACCAAAGTTGGATCAACGAATTTCTGATTAGGTATTATCTGACTCCACACAACCTACCATTGTCAACACTAACTGTAATTTTCTTTTCTATATAAAACAAAGAGAAGGGTTTCTTGACGATCTACAAAAAATCTCTCAATCAACTATGACTTGTAATTTCGTCATTGTTTGGTATCCCTTTCCCATCTCACAAACGTTCCATATGCCACCCCACACGTGCCTTTATCTCTTCTCTTTGAAGTAAATAGCCAAACAAAATTCCTTTCATTTTGAATACGTGAAGTATATCACAATATGTCAAAGAAAAACAAGAAAATTAAAATTCAGAAAATTACTCAATGGTAAAAGAGAAAAGGATATCTAGTCCACCCCATAGTGGGCCTTTTATTGGTCATAGCTACGGCAAAGTCAACAAGATTTTATAGTGGATTCGATCTAATAGAATGATTTTACTTGAATCGAGACGAGAAACAAGCAAACGCAGGGAACGACAAATGTACAGGAGGCGATTAAATTAGACAGAACAAGTCGATTGACATCATCCATTGCCAAATTAATCTCAGAAACCACAGAAATTCTGCAGGGAAGATTCGCCTTTCTGGGAAATTTCTGTGTGGTAGAATCTGATGTATTCAGCGTAGTCAAAGGGCTTGAAGAGTAAGGGGTGATCTTCATCCACCAGCTCTTCTGGGGCTTTGATTATGCAACCTGGTTTTGGGATAGAAAACAATCCAACAGAGTACCTTGCCTTGTTCCCACTCATCATTACGCGATGAAATGGCGAATGGAGTCGGCCATTTGCCCACGCCTGAAAGTATCCGATATATATACAGGTTTTACATCAGAAAGCATAAATCCTAATTTGAGGACATAATACACGCGTGCAAGAACGAGTAACTTACAGAGAAAGACTCCCCGATAAAGACTGTGAAAGAGTCAGGTGAAGGATTGGCATTGATCCATTCCCCATCTTTAGTCTGCACCTCTAACCCGTCGACTTGATTAATCTGATACAATATAGTCACTACGTTCAGATCTCTGTGAGCTCTTAGCCCAACCTTGGTCTCAGTGGTTTCGGGTCCTTTGTACTTCATCGCTCGAAAAAGGTAATTTGCCGATTCTATGTGCTCCTCCAAGTATTTCTCTACGCCCAAGCTCTCCAAGACCATCCTCCGAATTATCTGATCTAATTCAGATAGATGCTCTGAGAAGGATTGTATAGTTTTGCTGCAAAAAACGTAAAGAGTTAATAAATCAAGAACTATACAATGCATAGATTCTCGTGACCTACATATTAGATTTATACGTACAATGCATATTATTCGAGAGTTAATAAGTCAACAACTACAAGGCTCGTAGATTCATACATTGCAAATTATTCTAAAGTTAATAAGTCAACAACTGTTGGAATTCTAAGCAATACAACGTATGTATTTATTTCACACATGGTTCATGTATGTAAGTGATACATGGATATCANTATGAAGTGAATCCATAGATTGTACTTTGTGGATTTACTTATTCTTTTATTTGATAGCAAAACTATACAATCGTACTCGGAGCAACTATCCGAATTAGATCAGATAATTCGGAGGATGGTGTTGGAGAGCTTGGGTGTTGAGAAATACTTGGAGGAGCACATAGCATCAACAAACTACCTTCTTCGAGTCATGAAATATAAAGGACCCGAATCTAGTGAGAACAAGCTTGGGCTGAATGCCCACACAGATAAAAACATAGTGACCATATTGTATCAGAATCAAGTTGATGGATTAGAAGTGCAGACTAAAGATGGGGAATGGATCAATGTCAAACCTTCACCAGACTCTTTTACAGTCATGATCGGAGATTCTTTTTACGTAAGTTGTGTTGAAATACAAATATTTAAATTATACCCTCTCTAACAGTTTAAGTTTTTGGTAGATAATTGTTTAACGTGGTATCAGAACTTCTACGTGTTATGCCCAAAATCTAGTCTGCTAATCTGTACATGAGAGAGCGTATTGAAGTATAAATCTTTAAGTTACACCCTTTCTAACAGCTTAAACTTTTAGAGTAGAATGTTGTTTAACAAATTGCTACTATAGTTATTCTTGCTTGCATGAGTTTATTAGACACCCAAGATTTAGGTCTTGAAACCATGGTTTTAGCTGCATTTAAGGGTATTAATTGAGCTGACTTATCGAGCTATAGATTATGCTCAGGCTTAGCCTAGTTGTGATTAACCGAGGTCGACCCGAGTTTAGAATCATGGTCAAGCTTTGCTTGACAAGAACTTGCAAATATTAGAACCAAACTTTAGCTGAAATAGAGCTCAATAGCTCATAAGTTTTTTTCTTTAAAATTAAACCATACATCCCATTAATTATCAAAAATACTCCAAAATTGTACAATCAACTATAAAATCAAACATTAGAAGTTCAAATATTTCAAGAATTGGTTAGAGAATAGATAAAAAGAAAACTGTATATATTTTAGGACTATTTGGAGATAAGTTCGAGATTGTTTGCCTTTCGGATATAATTTGTAGTACTTGTAGACAGAACTCATTTGATTCGAGCCAAACATATTCAAGTTGAGCTGCATGTTACTTGGATTCAACTTATTTACAAAACAAGCTTTGAAATTTATTTATATTCAATTCATTTTGTAATTTGAACAACCCTAAATGAATCAAAACCAAGCCCCGAGCCCTGAGCTTGAACTGCTTACAGAAAATAACACATTGTAACAATCAATCTGCTAATAATTTTTAGGAGACTCGTATATGATATTTGTAGGCATGGGCGAATGGCCGGTTCCATTCACCGTACCATCGGGTTATGATGACCGGGTTCGAGACAAGGTACTCTCTGGGATTGTTTTCAATTCCAAAAGCAGGCTACATAATAAAGGCCCCAGAAGAGCTGGTGGATGAAGACCACCCCTTACTGTTCAAGGCCTTTGATCATGTTGAATTCCTGGGATTCTACTACACTGAGGCCGGCCAAAAAGCCAAATCTGCCCTGCAGACTTATTGTGGTGTATGAGACTTAGCAATGGAGGATGATAAGGAACTTGTTTTGTCTACTTTAATCCCTTGTTATAACTGGGTTTCATTTGTTCGCTAGCTTCTCAGCTACACTGTTTGTGTATTATGGTACTGTTCCCTGGTTTAAGTATGGTTACTGTACTTGAAAAATAGATATAGTTAAAATGTTTATTGTGGCCAATATGATTACTACGGTGAATAAGTTAAATGGAAATGTTATAATATACGTTGTAAGATAAGATGTTAAATCCAAACAATCTAGACCATTATTGTCATTTATGGTAAAAATTGTTCCACTTTATTTGCTAGTATGTAATTACATGAATATAATCACAAACTTTTATATTGTAAGATGTATTTGGATGTAACTTTTTAGACGGTCTTCTCTTAGAAATTAACTTCCTTATATATATATATATATTGCGGTGACAATAAAACAAAAAATTAATAATATTTAGCTTTGGGCAAAAAACTCAAAAATTCAGGGAAAAAAACTATGAAACTACAACAAATCCTTTATGAAACGAGCAATAATACAAAAAATTGCTACATGTGAGGGTTGTTTGTACATTTAATACATTTTGTTAGAGGTAAAGAAATAGGTATGAAAAATTAACAACAGTACCTTTTACCAAAGTTGGATCAACGAATTTCTGATTAGGTATTATCTGACTCCACACAACCTACCATTGTCAACACTAACTGTAATTTTCTTTTCTATATAAAACAAAGAGAAGGGTTTCTTGACGATCTACAAAAAATCTCTCAATCAACTATGACTTGTAATTTCGTCATTGTTTGGTATCCCTTTCCCATCTCACAAACGTTCCATATGCCACCCCACACGTGCCTTTATCTCTTCTCTTTGAAGTAAATAGCCAAACAAAATTCCTTTCATTTTGAATACGTGAAGTATATCACAATATGTCAAAGAAAAACAAGAAAATTAAAATTCAGAAAATTACTCAATGGTAAAAGAGAAAAGGATATCTAGTCCACCCCATAGTGGGCCTTTTATTGGTCATAGCTACGGCAAAGTCAACAAGATTTTATAGTGGATTCGATCTAATAGAATGATTTTACTTGAATCGAGACGAGAAACAAGCAAACGCAGGGAACGACAAATGTACAGGAGGCGATTAAATTAGACAGAACAAGTCGATTGACATCATCCATTGCCAAATTAATCTCAGAAACCACAGAAATTCTGCAGGGAAGATTCGCCTTTCTGGGAAATTTCTGTGTGGTAGAATCTGATGTATTCAGCGTAGTCAAAGGGCTTGAAGAGTAAGGGGTGATCTTCATCCACCAGCTCTTCTGGGGCTTTGATTATGCAACCTGGTTTTGGGATAGAAAACAATCCAACAGAGTACCTTGCCTTGTTCCCACTCATCATTACGCGATGAAATGGCGAATGGAGTCGGCCATTTGCCCACGCCTGAAAGTATCCGATATATATACAGGTTTTACATCAGAAAGCATAAATCCTAATTTGAGGACATAATACACGCGTGCAAGAACGAGTAACTTACAGAGAAAGACTCCCCGATAAAGACTGTGAAAGAGTCAGGTGAAGGATTGGCATTGATCCATTCCCCATCTTTAGTCTGCACCTCTAACCCGTCGACTTGATTAATCTGATACAATATAGTCACTACGTTCAGATCTCTGTGAGCTCTTAGCCCAACCTTGGTCTCAGTGGTTTCGGGTCCTTTGTACTTCATCGCTCGAAAAAGGTAATTTGCCGATTCTATGTGCTCCTCCAAGTATTTCTCTACGCCCAAGCTCTCCAAGACCATCCTCCGAATTATCTGATCTAATTCAGATAGATGCTCTGAGAAGGATTGTATAGTTTTGCTGCAAAAAACGTAAAGAGTTAATAAATCAAGAACTATACAATGCATAGATTCTCGTGACCTACATATTAGATTTATACGTACAATGCATATTATTCGAGAGTTAATAAGTCAACAACTACAAGGCTCGTAGATTCATACATTGCAAATTATTCTAAAGTTAATAAGTCAACAACTATTGGAATTCTAAGCAATACAACGTATGTATTTATTTCACACATGGTTCATGTATGTAAGTGATACATGGATATCACTCAAGGGTCATTCATGTATGGAGTCTAAGAGTTGTTCATGAACCTATTTATTGTCTAGGTTTGTGTACTTGTCTAGATATAAATTACACAAGTGTTTGAATCATTTTGTAAGTTTTTATCACAATTTTCAGTTATTTATAAAAGAGTATTCAATCAAGAGCACAATTTCTCTTGATCATTTTATCTGTTTGATCCAACAAATTAGTATCAGAGCCATTGGGTTGGGAAATCAAGGCTACTAACAAAAATACTGTGATTTCCCAATTGCCCCAATTTCCTCGCCTCGGTGGAAAGAATTATAACTATTGGAGTATTCAAATGAAGGTCTTGCTTGGAACTCAAGAATTATGGGATATTGTAGAGAACGGGTATGAAGAACCAGCAGAAAGAGCAACTCTTACTGCAGCTCAAACAACCGAGCTGAGTGCAAATCGTAGGAAGGACAAGAGGGTCTAACTTATGATTTATCAAACAGTGACTGAAACTGTTTTCCAACGAATTACAGTAGCAACTACGTCAAAGAAAGCTTGGGATATACTTTTCGCTTCATACAAAGGTGATGACAAAGTGAAGATGGTACGACTTCAATCCCTTAGATTTGAGTTTGATTCACTAAAGATGAAGGAGTCTGAAAGCATTGAAGATTATTTTAATCGGGTAATTTATGTTGCCAACCAATTGAGATTGAATGGTGAATTGACAGAGGATCAAAGAATAGTGGAGAAAATACTACGTAGCTTAACCTGTAAATTTGAAGAAATTGTCGCTGTGATCGAAGAGTCAAAAGACGTGTCTACTTTGTCTGTGGAGAGTTTAATGGGATCACTACAATCCTATGAACTTTGGATGAAGCAATATGATTCTTCTCTTTTTGAGCAGGCTTTCCATACACAAGCTTCTCAAAGGGGAGGTTTCAGAGGTAGTAAAGGACATGGCTCTTCTCGTGGAAGAGGAAGAAATAATGAAAATCAGTCAAACAATGGAGGAAGAGATCATGGTGTAAGGCAGCAGGAAGGCAAAAAGAATGAAAGTCACTCGTCTAATTCAAATAGAGGAAGAGGGAAAGGATGGTCTTTTGTAAAAAATACCCAATGCCATTACTGTGAAAAATTTGGGCATGTCAAGAAATATTGTAGGAAAAGAATTACGGATGAAGAGAAGAACAATTCCAACTTTATGCATGAAAAAGATCAAAACAAAGAAGCTGATTCTTTGTTTCTCACATACCATGAATAAGAGGCTCTTTTTGATGAAGTATGGTATGTTGACAATGGGTGTAGCAATCATATGACAGGAAATAAGAAGGCATTTGTGGAGCTGAATCAATCTACTCAAGGTGAAATTAGAACCGGTGATGATAAGAGGCTCTCTGTAAAGGGCAGTGACGTTATCCTTGTTCACACAAACAAAGAGGTAAAGCGTATTTCTGATGTCCATTATGTTGTAGGCCTCAAGCACAATCTCTTGAGTGTTGGACAGCTTTTATTGAAGGGTTATGAAGTGAACTTCAAGGAGGACATGTGTGAGATCAAAGACAAGAGTGGTGTTCTCATTACTAAGGTGAGAATGACTCAAAACAAGATGTTTCCATTGAAGTTTCAAAATCAATTTGGTTCTTGTTTCAACACTTTTATCAAAGACAAATCTTGGTTGTGGCATTTTTGTTTTGGGCATTTGAGTTTCAAAACTCTCCCTATAATGAGCAAGAAGAATATTGTGAATGGGATGCCAGATGTTGATCTACAAGAGAAAGTTTGTGGATGTGTTCTTGGAAAGCATCACAGAGATTCTTTCCTGGTTGGAAAAGCAAGAAGAGCAACAAAACCATTCGAGTTGATACATTCAGATATTTGCGGGCCAATGAATGTCACTTCAGTTGGAGGTAATCGTTATTTTCTCACCTTTATTGACGATTATAGTAGAAAAACTTGGGTTTATTTTTTCNAGCAACAAAACCATTCGAGTTGATACATTCAGATATTTGCGGGCCAATGAATGTCACCTCAGTTGGAGGTAATCGTTATTTTCTCACCTTTATTGACGATTATAGTAGAAAAACTTGGGTTTATTTTTTTAAAGAAAAATCTGAAGTATTTTGATGTTTCAAAAAATTTAAGTCTTTGGTTGAAAAACAAAGTGGTTTTATGGTAAAAGTTTTACATACTGATTGAGGTGGTGAAAACATTGATGGAGAATTTGAAAATTTTCTCAAAGAAAATGGCATCCAATATCAGTTTACTGTTCGGTACACTCCTCAGCAAAATGGGGTTTCCGAAAGAAAAGATCGAACTATTGTGGAGTTGGCTAGAAGTATGTTAGAAGCAAAGAGAGTTCCTACTCTTTTTTGGGCTGAAACTGTGGGTTGTGCTGTTTATCTTTTGAACCATGCCTCATCCAAAAATATGAAAAATATGACTCCTCACGAAGCTTGGAGTTGACACAAACCGAGTGTTGGGCACTTGAGAATTTTCGGAAGTGTTGCATATTCACATGTGCCAGATGAAAAGAGGAAAAAGTTGGATGACAAATCTGATAAATGTATCTTTGTTGGGTATAGTAAAATTTCTAAGGNGAATCACCAAAAAGAAGTCATTGGGATGCTGAAAAGAGAGTTTTGCGATATTTATGTAGTACTGTTAATCAAGGGATACTTTATAGAAGAGTTCAAGACTCGAGTTTGGTTGGTTATTGCGATAGTGACTGAGGTAGAAGTGTTGATGACTGCAAAAGCACTTCTGGTTATGTTTTTAGCATTGGCTCAGGTGTTGTTTCTTGGGCATCAAAGAAGCANGCAGAGATGTGAAATTTGATGAAGAAGCATCTTGGAATTGGAATGAAAATGATGAGTTTGGAAATTCAAGTTGTGTTGAATTGGAAGAAGAATCCAATGACCAAAATGTTGTTGCAGGGAATGAAGAAGTTAGTACTCCTCCAACTTCTCCACTTCCTACTTAGTTGCATTCTTCTTCGTCATCATCATCTTCAAGTTCAAGTACAAGTGTTGCCCCCGTAAAGACAAGAAGCATAAGAGAACTCTATGAATGTACCAGCAAAATGTTAGAAGACGACTTGGCTAATTTTGCTCTGTTTGTCAATGCTGACCCAATCAGTTTTGAGGAAGCTTCTAAAGAAGAGAAGTGGAGGCTAGCCATGGGTCAAGAAATTGATTCGATACATAAAAATCACACTTACGAGCTTGTGGATATTCCAAATGGGTAGAAGGCAATTGATGTGAAGTGGGTGTACAAGATAAAGTTGAAAGGAAAGGGAGAGATTGATAAGTTCAAAGCTCGTCTTGTTGTGAAATGTTACAAACAAAAATATGAAGTTGATTTTTGAGAAGTGTTTGCTTTGGTTGCTCATCTTGAGATAATTCAAAGGGTGCTAGCCTTGGCAGCTCAAAATAATTGAAAAGTTTATCAAATGGATGTCAAATCAGCCTTCTTAAATGGTTTTCTTGAAGAGGAGGTGTTTATCAATCAACCACAAGGTTATGTAAAGGTTGGTGAAGAAAATAAGGTTTGTTGTTTGAAAAAGGCACTTTATGGGCTCAAGCAAGCACCAAGAGCGTGATATAGCCGTATTGATGGTTATTTTATGCAGAACAATTTCAAAAGGTGTCCATTTGAACATACTCTCTACATCAAAGAAGGTATGCATTGTGAATATTTGATCGTTTGCTTGTATGTTGATGATTTGATTTTTACGGGAACTAGTTCAAGTTTGTGTGGAGAATTCAAGAGAGCTATGATGCAAGAATTTGAAATGACCGACATGGGACTTCTCCATTTCTTTCTTGGTATTGAGATTAAACAACAAAAAGATGGAATTTTTATTTGTCAAAAGAAATATGCAAAGGACGTGCTGAAGAAATTTCGGATGGAGGGTGCTAAACCAACAAGCAGTCCAATGGAAGTTAGTTTGAAGTTGAGCAAATTTGATAAAAGAAGATAATGTTGATGGCACTATTTATTGAAGTCTTCCTAGTAATCTCATGTACTTGACTGCAACTAGACCAGATCTTACTTTCTCGGTATGCATGCTCAGTAGATACATGGAATCACCAAAAAGAAGTCATTGGGATGCTGAAAAGAGAGTTTTGCGATATTTATGTAGTACTGTTAATCAAGGGATACTTTATAGAAGAGTTCAAGACTCGAGTTTGGTTGGTTATTGCGATAGTGACTGAGGTAGAAGTGTTGATGACTGCAAAAGCACTTCTGGTTATGTTTTTAGCATTGGCTCAGGTGTTGTTTCTTGGGCATCAAAGAAGCAAGTAGAATTTGAGTATATTTCACTTGCCTTGGCATTTTGTCAAACTCTTTGGTTAAGATGGATCTTAGAAGAACTCAAGCATCAGCAAGAGAAAGGGACAACACTGTTTTGTGACAATAGTTCAACTATTTCACTCACAAAGAACCCAATTTTTCATGGCAAAAGCAAGCACATAAAGATCAAATTTCATTTCATTCGTGACTTGGTTAAAGACAGAGAGATTATTGTCAAGTTCTGTGAGACTCAAGATCAACTTGTGGATATCTTTACAAAGGCTTTGAAGAGTGATACTTTCAACAAACTGAAAGAGAAGTTTGGCATGGTAGTTGTCTAGCTTAAGGGGGGCTTTTGGATTTCTAAGCAATACAACGTACCTATCTATTTCACACATGGTTCATGTATGTAAGTGATACATGGATATCACTCAAGGGTCATTCATGTATGGAGTCGAAAAGTTGTTCATGAATCTATTTATTGTCTAGGTTTGTGTACTTGTCTAGATACATGGTAAAATAGTTCTATAAATTGCACAAGTGTTTGAGTCATTTTGTGAGTTTTTATTACCATTTTCAGTTATTTATAAGAGAGTATTCAATCAAGAGCATAATTTCTCTTGATCATTTTATCTCTTTGATCCAACAACAACTACAAGTCTACAATGCATATAATTATTCCAGAGTTAACAAGTGAAGAACTCCAATGCATAGATTCATGATATAATTTCGGGTGTGTTTTGAGTTTCATTATAATATCTTTATTTTTTTGAATAAAATTTATTTAGCTACCGGATAATAAGAAATATATATACCTGAAAACATTGTTCCCTTCAGGCCACATCAGATTGGTGAAGCTTTCAGTTTTTTCCAGGAGGGTTGGATCCTCAATACCCATGCTCTCATAGAGTGACATCATCGGAGGTGGCGCGATGTAGCCACGAAAGGGCTTCTGGGAGGAGTTTTTCATCTTGGTTTGTAAAGGGAGATTGAAAAGCTCTTCCGATGCATCAAATATCGATTTTCGGAGTTCACTGGGAAATTTGTCGAACAATGCTTCAAAGCAACCAAATTCCTGGAAGGCTTCATGAACTTGGACTCTAACCAAATCCCATTCAAGATTGCCCGGCTTTTGTTCTACCTTGGAGAAATCTATAATAGGAAGCCTGAGAGTGGTTTCAGAGCCCATTTTGGTTTTTCTTTGGTACTAGAAACTGCTGCTTTGTTATGCTAATACAATTGCTTTAGCCAATGTATACACTTTCATGAAGAGTAGTTAATGTGGTAGAGGAGGCAGGTGAGAATGGCATACCATATTGTATTGAAGTCAATGGAGTAAAGAAGAAACCTTGAGTTGGGTAAGTGATAATAAAGTATAAAATTTGTCAGATATCTAGAAAAGATCAAATTGCTTATTGAATTCAATTGAAAGGATTAAATTGCACTGGGGTCCCAAAGTATGTAGTTTGTTTTATTTGAGTTCCTAATATTTAAATTGCATCATTTTAGTCCCTAAAGTATTAAATATATTTTTATGTGGTCCCTCAATCAAACAGTATCAAGATTGCTAACGATTTTTTTATTATAAACTTGTCACGTAATACTTAAATATGGACAAAAAAATAATTTGAATAACTCTTTATCAAATTTTTACCCAAATTTTAGTCAAAGACTACTTAAATTATTTTTTTTCCCATATTTAGGTATNGTGAATATTTGATCGTTTGCTTGTATGTTGATGATTTGATTTTTACGGGAACTAGTTCAAGTTTGTGTGGAGAATTCAAGAGAGCTATGATGCAAGAATTTGAAATGACCGACATGGGACTTCTCCATTTCTTTCTTGGTATTGAGATTAAACAACAAAAAGATGGAATTTTTATTTGTCAAAAGAAATATGCAAAGGACGTGCTGAAGAAATTTCGGATGGAGGGTGCTAAACCAACAAGCAGTCCAATGGAAGTTAGTTTGAAGTTGAGCAAATTTGATAAAAGAAGATAATGTTGATGGCACTATTTATTGAAGTCTTCCTAGTAATCTCATGTACTTGACTGCAACTAGACCAGATCTTACTTTCTCGGTATGCATGCTCAGTAGATACATGGAATCACCAAAAAGAAGTCATTGGGATGCTGAAAAGAGAGTTTTGCGATATTTATGTAGTACTGTTAATCAAGGGATACTTTATAGAAGAGTTCAAGACTCGAGTTTGGTTGGTTATTGCGATAGTGACTGAGGTAGAAGTGTTGATGACTGCAAAAGCACTTCTGGTTATGTTTTTAGCATTGGCTCAGGTGTTGTTTCTTGGGCATCAAAGAAGCAAGTAGAATTTGAGTATATTTCACTTGCCTTGGCATTTTGTCAAACTCTTTGGTTAAGATGGATCTTAGAAGAACTCAAGCATCAGCAAGAGAAAGGGACAACACTGTTTTGTGACAATAGTTCAACTATTTCACTCACAAAGAACCCAATTTTTCATGGCAAAAGCAAGCACATAAAGATCAAATTTCATTTCATTCGTGACTTGGTTAAAGACAGAGAGATTATTGTCAAGTTCTGTGAGACTCAAGATCAACTTGTGGATATCTTTACAAAGGCTTTGAAGAGTGATACTTTCAACAAACTGAAAGAGAAGTTTGGCATGGTAGTTGTCTAGCTTAAGGGGGGCTTTTGGATTTCTAAGCAATACAACGTACCTATCTATTTCACACATGGTTCATGTATGTAAGTGATATATGGATATCACTCAAGGGTCATTCATGTATGGAGTCGAAGAGTTGTTCATGAACCTATTTATTGTCTAAGTTTGTGTACTTGTCTAGATACATGGTAAAATAGTTCAATAAATTGCACAAGTGTTTGAGTCATTTTGTAAGTTTTTATTACCATTTTCAGTTATTTATAAGATTNGGTCAAGAAATTGATTCGATACATAAAAATCACACTTACGAGCTTGTGGATATTCCAAATGGGTAGAAGGCAATTGATGTGAAGTGGGTGTACAAGATAAAGTTGAAAGGAAAGGGAGAGATTGATAAGTTCAAAGCTCGTCTTGTTGTGAAATGTTACAAACAAAAATATGAAGTTGATTTTTGAGAAGTGTTTGCTTTGGTTGCTCATCTTGAGATAATTCAAAGGGTGCTAGCCTTGGCAGCTCAAAATAATTGAAAAGTTTATCAAATGGATGTCAAATCAGCCTTCTTAAATGGTTTTCTTGAAGAGGAGGTGTTTATCAATCAACCACAAGGTTATGTAAAGGTTGGTGAAGAAAATAAGGTTTGTTGTTTGAAAAAGGCACTTTATGGGCTCAAGCAAGCACCAAGAGCGTGATATAGCCGTATTGATGGTTATTTTATGCAGAACAATTTCAAAAGGTGTCCATTTGAACATACTCTCTACATCAAAGAAGGTATGCATTGTGAATATTTGATCGTTTGCTTGTATGTTGATGATTTGATTTTTACGGGAACTAGTTCAAGTTTGTGTGGAGAATTCAAGAGAGCTATGATGCAAGAATTTGAAATGACCGACATGGGACTTCTCCATTTCTTTCTTGGTATTGAGATTAAACAACAAAAAGATGGAATTTTTATTTGTCAAAAGAAATATGCAAAGGACGTGCTGAAGAAATTTCGGATGGAGGGTGCTAAACCAACAAGCAGTCCAATGGAAGTTAGTTTGAAGTTGAGCAAATTTGATAAAAGAAGATAATGTTGATGGCACTATTTATTGAAGTCTTCCTAGTAATCTCATGTACTTGACTGCAACTAGACCAGATCTTACTTTCTCGGTATGCATGCTCAGTAGATACATGGAATCACCAAAAAGAAGTCATTGGGATGCTGAAAAGAGAGTTTTGCGATATTTATGTAGTACTGTTAATCAAGGGATACTTTATAGAAGAGTTCAAGACTCGAGTTTGGTTGGTTATTGCGATAGTGACTGAGGTAGAAGTGTTGATGACTGCAAAAGCACTTCTGGTTATGTTTTTAGCATTGGCTCAGGTGTTGTTTCTTGGGCATCAAAGAAGCAAGTAGAATTTGAGTATATTTCACTTGCCTTGGCATTTTGTCAAACTCTTTGGTTAAGATGGATCTTAGAAGAACTCAAGCATCAGCAAGAGAAAGGGACAACACTGTTTTGTGACAATAGTTCAACTATTTCACTCACAAAGAACCCAATTTTTCATGGCAAAAGCAAGCACATAAAGATCAAATTTCATTTCATTCGTGACTTGGTTAAAGACAGAGAGATTATTGTCAAGTTCTGTGAGACTCAAGATCAACTTGTGGATATCTTTACAAAGGCTTTGAAGAGTGATACTTTCAACAAACTGAAAGAGAAGTTTGGCATGGTAGTTGTCTAGCTTAAGGGGGGCTTTTGGATTTCTAAGCAATACAACGTACCTATCTATTTCACACATGGTTCATGTATGTAAGTGATATATGGATATCACTCAAGGGTCATTCATGTATGGAGTCGAAGAGTTGTTCATGAACCTATTTATTGTCTAAGTTTGTGTACTTGTCTAGATACATGGTAAAATAGTTCAATAAATTGCACAAGTGTTTGAGTCATTTTGTAAGTTTTTATTACCATTTTCAGTTATTTATAAGATTGTATTCAATCAAGAGCATAATTTCTCTTGATCATTTTATCTCTTTGATCCAACAACAACTACAAGTCTACAATGCATATAATTATTCCAGAGTTAACAAGTGAAGAACTCCAATGCATAGATTCATGATATAATTTCGGGTGTGTTTTGAGTTTCATTATAATATCTTTATTTTTTTGAATAAAATTTATTTAGCTACCGGATAATAAGAAATATATATACCTGAAAACATTGTTCCCTTCAGGCCACATCAGATTGGTGAAGCTTTCAGTTTTTTCCAGGAGGGTTGGATCCTCAATACCCATGCTCTCATAGAGTGACATCATCGGAGGTGGCGCGATGTAGCCACGAAAGGGCTTCTGGGAGGAGTTTTTCATCTTGGTTTGTAAAGGGAGATTGAAAAGCTCTTCCGATGCATCAAATATCGATTTTCGGAGTTCACTGGGAAATTTGTCGAACAATGCTTCAAAGCAACCAAATTCCTGGAGGGCTTCATGAACTTGGACTCTAACCAAATCCCATTCAAGATTGCCCGGCTTTTGTTCTACCTTGGAGAAATCTATAATAGGAAGCCTGAGAGTGGTTTCAGAGCCCATTTTGGTTTTTCTTTGGTACTAGAAACTGCTGCTTTGTTATGCTAATACAATTGCTTTAGCCAATGTATACACTTTCATGAAGAGTAGTTAATGTGGTAGAGGAGGCAGGTGAGAATGGCATACCATATTGTATTGAAGTCAATGGAGTAAAGAAGAAACCTTGAGTTGGGTAAGTGATAATAAAGTATAAAATTTGTCAGATATCTAGAAAAGATCAAATTGCTTATTGAATTCAATTGAAAGGATTAATTGCACTGGGGTCCCAAAGTATGTAGTTTGTTTTATTTGAGTTCCTAATATTTAAATTGCATCATTTTAGTCCCTAAAGTATTAAATATATTTTTATGTGGTCCCTCAATCAAACAGTATCAAGATTGCTAACGATTTTTTTATTATAAACTTGTCACGTAATACTTAAATATGGACAAAAAAATAATTTGAATAACTCTTTATCAAATTTTTACCCAAATTTTAGTCAAAGACTACTTAAATTATTTTTTTTCCCATATTTAGGTATCACATAACAACTTTATGATTAAAAACCGTTAGCAATTTAGACGTTGTCTACTTTAGGGACCACATAAAAATATATTTAATACTTTAGAGATAAAAATGATGTAATTAAAATATTGATGAGTAAAATGAGATAAATTTTATATTTGAAGAACCTCTAATACAATTAACCTTAATTGAAATTAGGTACGAAGTGTGACTAAATTAAGTAAAGCTTTTTTTTTTTTCTAAAAAAAAGAGGACTTTTTCCCCCTCAAACCATACACTTGATTGCATTATTAGAAGAAAGGTATCATGCCAGCAAAGATAAATGGCATATTCAGCTTCCGACTTGTTTGTTTGATTCTGACAAGCTGAAGTCAACGCCTTGGTGCATTTACAAACTCCCAAAAAATATAAAAAAACATAAGATCGAAGCCAATTTAGTAACCAACAATAATTGAACACTAAAACCTAATTTGTTAATCGAATTCCGTATTATTGTTTAATTGACAATGGACCTCATTCAATATTACAAGTTAATTACGTTGTAACGTATCGCTAATTCAACAAGAATAATAGATTTAACCACAAAAAAAAAAAAAAAAAATTACTCATGCCTGAATAGCACCATTGCCAAAGAAAAAGAACAACTTTCTTTCTATTTTTTAGAAAGAAAACGTTTTTTGTATCTAATTTGTAAACCTAATTAATCATAGATATTGGATTGAAAATAAAACCCGTCTAATATTAAAAATCACTAATGACTACGTTGGAACAAAAATGAATGGAATCAAGTCCAGGACAAGACAGCAATACCCAATTATGTGGCCTGTGAGGACCTTTTGTTTATTTTTTCAATGGTCAAGTTGTCTGGACCAGCTTACATACATCTTTATTAATTTTTTTTTCAGTCTAATTTAAAACAAGTTATTCGCGTCAAGACTAGGGGATGGTCTGACTTCAAAGGATTGCAAAGGTTCGAATTTTGTGGATGGCGGCAACATAGTTATGGTGTTAAAGTTAGTATTTTATCACTACCTAAAAATTGGTAACTCAAATAGTTTTTTTTAAATCTAAGTTCATTAAATAATGCAAGCTATGGGCACCGACAGTTCTTTTTTAATTGGACAGAAAGTCGTATTAGGCATTAACATTATCTTAAAATTAGATGAATTAATTCAATTTTTTTTCCCATCAAGTCCATTGGTTTTTTATTTTTTTTCCACATGAGAAACTTTTTTTTTTTTTCCGATCCAACAGTTTGTTAATTATACTATTATTTTTCTGTGAAAGAAATGTAATGACTGTAAGTCCTTAAACAGAAGGTGCTAAAGATTCCCACGTGCAGGGAGATCAACAACATATACATTGTCATTGATCTTTCTCAAAATCTGAAAAGAGGCTTTCTTCTGGTTCAACTTATTACAAGTCTCTACCGACAATCTAACCTCGAAAAGTTTCTAGTTGTGCTTGTCTACAGGTTCTTTATACTGGGCTACTGATTTCTCCAACTACTCCTACTGCACATCGGTCAACCTCTCCATCAAATGCTCAGCTACAATGTTCATCCCTGGAAGTTTGGGTAGGGAAACCAGGTGAAGAATATGAATAGGTACCCTGATGTACACAATCTGAAAAGGTAAATTTGTTAGTAGACCTGTTAGGAACATTGTTGTAAACAAACTCCGCCTAAGACAAGGTGTTATACCACTGCGCCCGGATACCCCTTACAGAGACTGAGAATATTCCACAATAAATTTTTGTCGAAAATACTTATTTATGATAATTTACAAAAATAATATGAGAATATTTCGAGAGGAATAAATGAGAGGGTTGGGCTTACGGATGCGAAGAAGAATAAAAACATATGTATGCAAGTTTAATGTTGTCTTTACATAACAAAGAATAATGTTGTTGTTGGATTGGAGTCTGGAGGTATCAAAAAATATAAAATATTACCTTTAATTATTTTGATAAGGGTAATATAAAAAATCAGAAGTTGTTCAAGATAGTGACATTTATATAGAATATAGTTTTGTCAAAAAATATGTAATATTTTTTTTTTTTGGTTCGGTGATTAGGGATTTGCAAAGTCAACTTATGCGCACTTCAACTAATCTCCTCTCTGATCCGGTGAAAGGCGTGGATAAAATTAAATATTATGCTCAAGTTATTATAAACACTCAAAAAATTGGCAAGACGGTTACATTTATATAGTATATAGATATGGATATAAATATAGATATAGATATTTACCTATTGGTGGTGGAGTTACCAAAGTGGAATCATTCAGAAGCAAAGATTCTCTATTCCATAACTACCTTAGTTTTGTTCTGTTTGAAGATGGTGAGAAAGTAGTGATGAGAAAAGTCGAGCTTTAAAATTTTATTAACTTCTTGGTTGTATTATGTTTTAAGTGTTTGACATGGTTAAACGTCTCACTCATCATCATATAATAATAACCCAACTTTAATCCAATGTGATTGACATTGATTTAGATCTTGCCCTCCAGAGAGATCTATGTGTTGTGCCCCATGGGTAGTTATGGCTTAACCACTTATCTAGCATAACAGAGTAGCCGCATCTACTACCTTTTAGTTTACCAAAGAAAAAAAGAAAATGGGCTCTGAGACCACTACTCTCAGGCTTCCTATTATAGATTTCTCCAAGGTAGAATTCAAGCCAGACAATGTTGAGTGGGACTTGGTTAGAGTCCAAGTTCAAGAAGCCCTTCAAGAATTTGGTTGCTTTGAAGCATTGTTCGACAAAGTTCCCAGTGAGCTCCGAAAGTCGATTTTTGATGCAGTGGAAGAACTTTACAATCTCCCTCTAGAAACCAAGCAGAAAAACTCCTCCCAGAAACTCTTTCAGGGCTACCTCGGGCAATTGCCAATGATGCCACTCTATGAAGGAATGGCCATCAACGATGCAAACCTCCTGGAAAAAGCCGAAAGCTTCACTAATCTGCTTTGGCCAGAAGGGAACCCAGGTTTTTGGTATGTTTCTAAGTATTATCACCAGTCTGAGTTTTTAGCAATTTATTTGTTCTCCAAAAATCCGATATATTACAATGAAGCTCAAGCATGCCCGATTGAAGTGATTTTGGCTTACTAACTACTGATTTTGACAGCAAAACTATACAATCATTCTCAGAGCAACTATCTGAATTAGATCGGATAATTCGGAGGATGGTGTTGGAGAGCTTTGGTGTAGAGAAATACTTAGATGAACACATTGAATCAACCAACTACGCTCTTCGAGTATTGAAATATAATGAACCCAAAACCACTGAGACCATGCTTGGTCTGAAAACTCACACAGATAAAAATTGTATGACCATATTGTGTGAAAATCAAGTTCACGGGCTAGAAATACAGACTAAAGATGGGAAATGGATGAATGTCAAACCTTCACCAGACTCTTTCACAGTCTTGATCGGGGATTGTTTTTACGTAAGTCGCTTTTTGAAATTATTTTTTCGTGCATTTTGTCCTCAAATTATGATTTTTAGTAGCAAAAACTGCGACAAAAGTTGCATACATGCACAAAATAATACATTGTAACATTTTGTAAAAATTCTCATGAGGCTTGTATATATTTGGTATTTTCAGGCGTGGACTAATGGCTGGCTCCATGCTCCGACTCATCGGGTAATGATGAGTGGGTTTAAGGCAAGGTACAGTGTTGGGTTTCAATCAATCCCAAAAGGAGGTTACATAATAAAAGCCCCAGAAGAGCTTGTGGATGAAGACCACCCTATACTTTTCAAGCCCTTTGACTATGTCGAATTCATCGAATTCTACGACACAGAAGCTGGTCGGAAAGCCAAATCTGCTCTGAAAACTTATTGTGGTGTATGATGAGACTTGGCAATGCAGCATGATAAGGAACTTGTTTTGTCTACTTTAACCCCTTGTTATAATTGGGTTTCATGTGTTTTCTAGCTTCTCCTCTATTTGTATATGCACGCATATGCATATCTTCAATGTAAGATTTAAAGTGTGGGTCTAAATATGCACAAAATTTGTGTCCGCGTGAATGAACATACTAGGAGGAGATTAATCGAGGTACGCGTAAGTTAGCTCAAACAATCTTGACTGTTGTACCAAAAAAAAATTTGTATGTCGGGCTTGTCAAGATGAACATGGAAGCAATTTTCCAAGTACATCTTTTGTGGGAAGTTCGCTAATCCTAGTATTCAATATGCGGTAAGATAGAACAAAAGAAACCATTAAATAGATTTATGTAAAAAAAATCAGAGTCGCACCAAATTCACTATGTTAATTGTTGTGATCGTGCAACAATTATGGTGAATAGTAAGGAATCAAACAATTAAGACAGCAGGAGAAAATAACACACAGAGATTTACGTGGTTCGGCAATGTGCCTACATCCACGAGAGCGAGCGGCTGTTCTTTTCCATTATTGAAGTAGGGTTACATCTTAAGTATTTATATAACCCTAATATGAACGTATTTATAAAAATACCCCTGTACTGTACCACGGGGGCGTTGCCCCCGCACCCCCAACTAATCAACGTCCCCTTTATATATATCCCGCTCCGGTATCTGCCTCATTGCCATTATACACATAGCAAATATGAGCCACACATACTCTAACATTAATCAAATTAAACAATTTAACCACGCATTAATGTTTTAACTACAATAAAAACAATAAATCTTTGCATGGGGTACCCCTAATTTTAGAAGACGATAAAGATAGTCATGTCATACAAGCGCTCATCTAATGAAAAGACACTTATGTCCTTGACCCATATAAAGAATGAGGAATACTATAGAACCAAATGGAGGACCTAATTCAATGTAACAATTGAATTAATTGAGTTTCAATGTTAGGTGGTATCCATTTTCAATCCAATAATTAGATTAATATAAGTTCTCATATTAATTCTTCAAATTAAATACAAATAGCATTCAATTCGAGTAATGTTATATGGACTTAAAAAGTAGATTTAAAAATTAGGGTTGATAACTTAAATCATTGAATAAGTAGTAAGTCCTAATAAATACTGGGAGGCACAGTAAAATCAATGGTTAAGATTATCAAATCTATTTTTTAAGTTCACGTAGCATTACTTTTTTCAAAAAAAATACAAAGATCCCTCGTAAGGGTGCTGCCAACTAGAAAACCTCTTACAATGTTAGCTAAAATTTGACAAAATTGTCGGCATCAACCTTGATTGATAACTGAGTTGTTTAAGTCAAGTTGTGCTATCCGTGTAATAAATTCATGGTATTTCAATTAAGTATTAAAATTGATGATTAAGATGATAGTGATGGGATTTTGGATATGGACTGTTATAATCAAATAGTCTAATGAGTCTAAGAAACCAATGATTACGTAATGGCCCAAATAAAACGCCCACAATTTGTCTACACCAAGAGTAGAGTTTACCAAGCCCAAAGAAAAAGATCCAACGGTCCCCAATCTCACTCAGCCACATGTCAGCTCAAATAGAGGAGCTCGACCCAATGTCTGCCCTAAAGCACCCTCGTCGCGCCACATGTTATAAAGACAAGGGGACCACTTCTGACACCCATAACGAACACACACTCTTTAGCACAAAGAACACTGGTGCGTATAATCGTTCAAAGATTGTGGACACTGTGATGTCGTGTGGCAGAGTTGACTACTGGAGAAAAGTGGAGGGCCTACAGAATCAACAAAAAAGAAGAAAGAACCTCAGGAAACCCTAGAAGAATCATTTGTATAAAAAAGATACTATTACGCTACAAAAGAGATCATCTCCTACATTGACACTCTCGAATCATCAACACAATCTAGCTTATCTGCATATTGTTCTTGTTAAGGTTCCGAGCCAACTACAACATTGTAATCTCTAGAAATCGAGTGGTATATAACCCCAAGGAGCAAGAGACTCTTTTGTAGTGGACATAGTCTTAGTCTCTCAGGTAAGGTGAACCACTTATATTATGTTCTTGACTTCCCGTACTGTGCTATTCATTTCTATTTTGTATATTTATTCTGAACCCCCTCCGAACTAACCAATCACGATTTCGAACTTGGGCTAGTATATTTGAGCACCATCAGAGATTAACCGTAAAATTTATATATTTCAATATGACACGACACAAACTCTATACGACTAGATTAGATTTTTCACACCTTATAATTCAAGTACTCAAATAAACTGTTAGTGCTACTTACTTCTCTTGTCAGATTCAATTCAATTGCTTGCTTACATTTGTAGTGATATTTACTTATGAAGGCAGAGGCAATGTTAAGATTGATTTTGATATTGCCCTGCGAGAGAGATCTATATTGAATATAATTAAGGCTTCAACAATAGCTCGCATGCCATTGGCTGGCCCGATGGGCCTGACCCCTGACCAGTCACATGACGGTCCCGGGATAGTCTAATATCGGAAATCCCAATGAGTAGAACCATGGAGAGTAGTCTTCGGCTTGTTAAGCCCCTATGGCCCGATGTTATGCTAGGCACCTTGATGTTAGATTTTTTCACAAGAGCTATTAACAGGGCAGTTTATTGGATGACAACAATGACACTATTCAATTCTATTGCCGTGAATTGGATCAGTTGTCCTCCATTAAANCATCTTAAGTATTTATATAACCCTAATATGAACGTATTTATAAAAATACCCCTGTACTGTACCACGGGGGCGTTGCCCCCGCACCCCCAACTAATCAACGTCCCCTTTATATATATCCCGCTCCGGTATCTGCCTCATTGCCATTATACACATAGCAAATATGAGCCACACATACTCTAACATTAATCAAATTAAACAATTTAACCACGCATTAATGTTTTAACTACAATAAAAACAATAAATCTTTGCATGGGGTACCCCTAATTTTAGAAGACGATAAAGATAGTCATGTCATACAAGCGCTCATCTAATGAAAAGACACTTATGTCCTTGACCCATATAAAGAATGAGGAATACTATAGAACCAAATGGAGGACCTAATTCAATGTAACAATTGAATTAATTGAGTTTCAATGTTAGGTGGTATCCATTTTCAATCCAATAATTAGATTAATATAAGTTCTCATATTAATTCTTCAAATTAAATACAAATAGCATTCAATTCGAGTAATGTTATATGGACTTAAAAAGTAGATTTAAAAATTAGGGTTGATAACTTAAATCATTGAATAAGTAGTAAGTCCTAATAAATACTGGGAGGCACAGTAAAATCAATGGTTAAGATTATCAAATCTATTTTTTAAGTTCACGTAGCATTACTTTTTTCAAAAAAAATACAAAGATCCCTCGTAAGGGTGCTGCCAACTAGAAAACCTCTTACAATGTTAGCTAAAATTTGACAAAATTGTCGGCATCAACCTTGATTGATAACTGAGTTGTTTAAGTCAAGTTGTGCTATCCGTGTAATAAATACATGGTATTTCAATTAAGTATTAAAATTGATGATTAAGATGATAGTGATGGGATTTTGGATATGGACTGTTATAATCAAATAGTCTAATGAGTCTAAGAAACCAATGATTGCGTAATGGCCCAAATAAAACGCCCACAATTTGTCTACACCAAGAGTAGAGTTTACCAAGCCCAAAGAAAAAGATCCAACGGTCCCCAATCTCACTCAGCCACATGTCAGAAATAGAGGAGCTCGACCTAATGCCTGCCCTAAAGCATCCTCGTCGCGCCACATGTTATAAAGACAAGGGGACCACTTCTGACATCCATAACGAACACACACTCTTTAGCACAAAGAACACTGGTGCGTATAATCGTTCAAAGATTGTGGACACTGTGATGTCGTGTGGCAAAGTTGACTACTGGAGAAAAGTGGAGGGCCTACAGAATCAACAAAAAAGAAGAAAGAACCTCAGGAAACCCTAGAAGAATCATTTGTATAAAAAAGATACTATTACGCTACAAAAGAGATCATCTCCTACATTGACACTCTCGAATCATCAACACAATCTAGCTTATCTGCATATTGTTCTTGTTAAGGTTCTGAACCAACTACAACATTGTAATCTCTAGAAATCGAGTGGTATATAACCCCAAGGAACAAGAGACTCCTTTGTAGTGGACATAGTCTTAGTCTCTCAGGTAAGGTGAACCACTTATATTATGTTCTTGACTTCCCGTACTGTGCTATTCATTTCTATTCTGTATATTTATTCTGAACCCCCTCCGAACTAACCAGTCACGATTTCGAACTTGGGCTAGTATATTTGAGCACCATCAGAGATTAACCGTAAAATTTATATATTTCAATATGACACGACACAAACTCTATACGACTAGATTAGATTTTTCACACCTTATAATTCAAGTACTCAAATAAACTGTTAGTGCTACTTACTTCTCTTGTCAGATTCAATTCAATTGCTTGCTTACATTTGTAGTGATATTTACTTATGAAGGCAGAGGCAATGTTAAGATTGATTTTGATATTGCCCTGCGAGAGAGATCTATATTGAATATAATTAAGGCTTCAACAATAGCTCGCATTTTTAAGGCTTTTTTTGTGTCTGTAATCAACTTTTCCTAACTTTAATGAATTTTCTTATCTTTTAGATCAAAAAAAAAAAAAATTTGACCTGACTAAGACCGCCATGGCTAATTGGATGATCTGGTGACCCGACCCATCACCCCAAATTTAAAACAAAAAACATACAAATGGGCTAAATCCTATTGAAAAAAATAGGCCCATTGGACGCAGTCATAGAACTTTTGTGAAGGCAGCCCGTTGAANTTACTTATGAAGGCAGAGGCAATGTTAAGATTGATTTTGATATTGCCCTGCGAGAGAGATCTATATTGAATATAATTAAGGCTTCAACAATAGCTCGCATTTTTAAGGCTTTTTTTGTG